AAGACAATCTCAACGTTCTGGTGTACAATCTCTGTCTCGTAGGCCGTTGTAAGACAATGTAAACGTTGTGGTGTACAATCTCTTTCGTGTTGGCCGTTGTAAGACAATCTAAACGTTGTGGTGTACAATCTCTTTCGTGTAGGCCGTTGTAAGACAATCTAAACGTTGTGGTGTACAATCTCTGTCGTGTTGGCCGTTGTAAGACAATCTCAACGTTCTGGTGTACAATCTCTGTCGTGTAGGCCGTTGAAAGACAATCTCAACGTTCTTGTATGTAATCCCTGTCGTGCAGGCCATTGCAAGACAATCTAAACGTTGTGATGTACAATCTCTGTCGTGTTGGCCGTTGTAAGACAATCTAAACGTTCTGGTGTACAATCTCTATCGTGTAGGCCGTTGTAAGACAATCTAAACGTTGTGGTGTACAATCTGTATCGTGTTGGCCGTTGTAAGACAATCTAAACGTTCTGGTGTACAATTTCTTTCGTGTTGGCCGTTGTAAGACAATCTAAACGTTCTGGTGTACAATTTCTATCGTTTAGGCCGTTGTAAGACAATCTAAACGTTGTGGTGTACAATCTCTTTCGTGTTGGCCGTTGTAAGACAATTTAAACGTTCTGGTGTACAATATTGAACATATTACCCAGAATGCCTAAGATCTAAAAGAAAAACCAGAATTTATTGATCGAAGTTTCTTAAAATTGGCAAAGGATATACCGTCCACGTAAATATATTTTGTTTTTAATTGTTTAAAAGAAATTTGGCTTTAATAATTTATTTATTTAAGAAATTATCTTTTAATTTTGTTTGTGATATTCGGTAAAACAAAAATGCAATTCTTAATTTTTCTATCTTTCATTATACAACTTTTTTAATGTCAAAAACATGAATTTAACGTTTTATCCTTTTATTTATAAGGGATTTTATCTACTTATTATTATTATTTGTCATACGATAATTATTTAACGATATTTGATAGTATTCAATTTGTTTAATGTTGGACGGGCCAATTACAACAATCTTGAACACATATCTTTTGTTTATTCAGAAGTCACAAGGAATATATTTTCAGAGAACGAAACGTTCACTTTAAGTAATGATTAGAATTTGCAAGAATGGATGAGAATTCATAATTTATCATCAAATTTTTAAAGAAGGTTTTTTAATATTACAGACTGAAAATTGCTGGAAATGAAAGGTCATCAATTTAATTTGAACAGGAATATATAATAAGTTTTAAAATTAACCATTAAACTGTATCATCACGTTTTGTTTCTCTGAGCAGTGTATTTACACAAACATACCATGTCACCATCGCAGGATATCCAAAGCAACTTATTTAGCATTAACTAATGATGTCATTGTTTCTTCATAAACAGTAAATTTATAAATAATAATATTAATTCGAATGTCGTCAAATATTTCAGATGAGAGTTCAAAATGCTCTCAACTCCGTTACATGTTGTGTATCATGAATGATAATGTTGTCGAACTGTTTTATTGTATTACAGATGGTCCCAACAACACATACATTACAATCGGAGCAGTAACAGGACTATCTATTCTTCTGGCTTTGGGCGCCATCTTATTAAAAAAGAAATTAGTGTCTGCAATTGTACCATCCCAATCAAACTGAAAGGAATGAATTTGTAAAATTATCAGACATACGAAATCTGCATCTACAGTTGTACCACAGTTATCATATATGACGATAGCAATTTATAATCAAACTTATAGATGTGATAACTAATTTTTGTCAGCTGATCAGTTCAGTTGGAATTTTACTGTTAAGACATTTGCTAGGTAAAAACATCATTGTTGTACAGCTCATTAAATCGGGTGTCTGTACAGTTGTACCCTAGTATACAAAAATGATGATATCAGTTTGCAGCAAACAGTTTACATGTGTGAGCGTAGGTCACGTTTATTTGCCCTTAAAAAGAATTATGATTTCATCTCACTAAATTATTCAATGCTTGTTATTATGTTGAACACATTCACACCATCAAACTTGAAATACAGGATACTATAAGTCTGTCTCATATCTTGACTAACGTCTATAAATTGAAAATACGAGTCGGTTGAGAACACAACTTTACAACAAAAGGAATGATTTCAGCATCACACAGTTGGAAACTTTCTAATTAGATAAAGCAATATTCCAGCAGCGCCTGCATAAGGAGTACTTATCTCGGGCCGAATCTCTATTCATGAGTTAGATATTTATATCGTGATTTCTTTGATAGAGGGTTGCTACTTACAAGAAAGATGGTGAACCAAGGTTTCAAAGTCATAAAATCCAAGTCATTCGTTCGGAGGTTGAAATGTAGACGTCACGAGTTGGTTGACCATTTGTAAAAATCTGTGTCACATATTACCACAGATATGTTCCAATTGTCGTAACCACAATTCCGACCTCCTTCTCCGATTGCGACATCCCCGAATGAGACTAATTACTGAACTTGTACTTAGAATAAGTAACATGACTGGTGCCACGTGTGATCTGCTGAGCCTTGCAAGGCACCTGCTATCACCTGTGGTTTTTGGTTGGATTTGTGTTGCTCAGTGTTTTGTGTACTCGGTTTTGGCCTTTCGTCTGTTTCAGTTTTCGTATGTGGTTGTCAGTTTTTCTTAGACTTATGACTTTTGAATGTTTGCAAGAGATCGTCCACTTTTGTTAATTTTATAGCCCTAACTTTTTAAGCACTTGTTAGATGCTGGAATCAGTGCAATTCAGGTTATAAAGACTCGTTATATACAATTCTACAGCAGTATGCAGAAATGAAGATATCAATATAAACAGTTTAGTTTGAACTTTACCAGGAACTGTTTATTTTATTTTGCCGGAACTGAAACCAGTGTCGGTCAGGTTAAAAGTAAAATAACAAAATTGTCGCACTCCAAGGGAAATTCAAAACGGAAAGTCTATTAACAAATAGCAAAAGCAAACGCTCAAACACATCAAATGAAAGGAAAACAACTGTCATATTCCTAACTTGGTACACTTGACATTTCTACAGCTCGCTTCAGGTGACTTAAACCTTGGTTAACATGAAAACCACTTGATCAATTTTAGAGTCAACTTTTGATAATAGTCATGAAATCAAAACATTAATTAACAATTGGCAATACTATTGGTGAAAACCAGCATGATTTAGACATTAACCTTCTGTTGTGTAAAACACGCACACACATTATTGTGCAAAACTCCGTAATTCTTATACACTCCAGATAAAAAGTTTTGCATTGACAACATTAGAATAATAAGGACATAAAAACAAGACCGAACACCGTTATCTCCCTCGTGCATACTCTAATTCCTTTTTCGACTTTGGCTGTACCTTTGTTTGTCTTTTTTGGTTAAGCTCTTCATTTTTAATAAGCTTCGGATTTTCAAATATTTTGGCCTTGAGCATCACTGAAGAAACATTTATTGTCGAAATGCGCTTCTGGTTTAGACAAATTGGTCCCATCAATGTTATTAAGCCCCTTTTTAAGATGCTTTTCGAGATTGAGAGCCATTAGTGGTATCGTTCCACCAATATCATCAACAGTCGGAAATTGAATCTATTCTGAACATAACTGTTCTGGATTGAAGAAAAAGGATAAACTAATTATTCAAACGTTTGAAAATGATTATTTGTTTTCTATTATACTGGTATCGAACGATTATGCAAATACAGATAATTGATGTTATTTCTTTATGATTTCTGAAAATTAAGACTGAACATGAATCTAAGCGCATCTTATCTTTAATTACATTTGCAAAAGTGACAATGACTCTTAAAAAATAACGATTATTCATATGCGTTTTTCTTGAAAATAAAGAAATATTTATAAAAAATTTACAAGAAGGAAAATATGTGATAAAAAATTGGAACTTAAAAAAAATTATAGTATAGAAGATAATATCTTCACAATAATTCAACATGTTAAACGTATGTCAATCTTATTATAAATTGTCACGGTGCACATTTGTAATACCAGTAATGATAAATGACCTTTAATTAATAACACATCATTAATTGAATAATTAAAATATGATATTGACAATAAAAAGAGAGGCGTTATAAAAAAAAACCAAAAAGAGAAGTTGAAAAAACAAACTTTAACATTGAAAACTAAAGGACGATGGTCCTTATATGCAAATAATTTCATCGTCATAATTGGAATGACAATTGCCTGATCAACACTGTAGAGCACTGACACACATATGCCGAGTATTACAGTGTTCCAGAAGAGACAAAAAAGTACAAGTTTGCTTTTAATTAGACTATTGTCTAAGGTTATTCATGTTATAAATATATGCTTTCCGATACTAAGGCTTAATATGTTTTATAACGGTATCTTATTTTTAGTTAACTTTGCAAGTTGCAACGGCTCTTAAAACAAAACAATGATACATGAACTGATTTATGCTTCTTTTTCAAAATTAAAAAGGAACCATTATGTAAAGTACGACAGGAATAGTTACAAAAAACACAATACATGAGCAAGTTTTATGTAAAAATAAAAATTAAGGTATAAAAAAATGAATTATAAAAAATGGAAAATGTTGAGCAAATGTTGTTAACAAAAGTAATGCAAATTAATAATCCACTTACCGAGAAAAGACATCAAATATTAATTTGACAGACTAGTTCTTCGATAAAATGTCATGATTGGCATTACAAAAATTTGTAGAAATATCAAAACATATATATCCAAAAAAATATCTGTTTAAACACCATGCTGTAGAGATTGAGTACCTGTAAAATAACAAAAATACCTAACTCCGACGAAAATTCAAAACGGAAATGTTTTATTCGGTTTTGCATCATTTATCAAACATCGATAATATTTAATACGTGACTTGAAACCATAAGACACGCAAGACATTGTATAAATAGTATTTTTATACAAACTAAAAATCATTTATGATGAGAAAAAACAACGAAAAACAAGCAATATTTTTACACCTAGGGAGACGATTGAAAATGATGTACAATTACGTTCCATTCAAAATTACTAACGATGCAATTCATTTACAAGGTATATGTGCGATTACAAATTTCAATAGAACACAAAGAAGGTGTTAACACCATTCCCCATATCCGTCACACGATACATCGCAGTCCATTAAATATTGCACTGTGCACAATTTCATATTGCACGTTACACAATTCAGTGAGCAAAAGGAAATTTACAATTCTATACTTCCACATGTTACAGTTACCATTTCCCATTGCACGATAATTTAAGGAACGTGTAAAAGAGGAACGAAAGATACCAAAGAGACATTCAAACTGTATATGTTAACGCCAATAAGTAAAAATAGGAATTAAGCTTAAATCCTAGGCAATAAGCTAATGCCTAGATATTTAAAGAGAGGCGAAAGATACTAAAGGGACATTCAAACTCATAAGTAGAAAATAAACTGACAACGCCATGGCTAAAAAAGAAAAAGATAAACAGACAAACAATAGTACACAAAACACAACATAGAAAACTAAGGACTTAGCAACACGAACATAACAATTAACGAAAAACAAATATGACAGAAATGAACCAACGACAACAACTGAACTACAGCAACTGGGAAATGGAAATATCACAATTGGAAAGCTGAAATCATCTCTTTTGTCGTAAAATTTTGTTTTCAACCGACCCTCATTGTCAATTTCTAGATGTTAGTCAAGATATGAGGCAGACTTAACTATATCTGTTATATCCTTTATCTAAGTTCAATGGGATAGATGCGTTCAACATAGTCACCAAATTTTGAATTATTTAGTGAGAGAACATCATCTATGTAGCGGAAAGTAAAGTTAAAGGATACTGCTAACTTCTTTTCTTTCTGCCTTATTAATTCCTGTATGAAGTCAGCCTCATATGAATAAAGGAACAAGTCGGCAAGAAGAGGTGCACAGTTGGTTTCCATGGGAATGCCAATTGTTTGCTGAAAAACACGTAACAAATATGTTTTCAATCAAGAAATCAAGCATCTTGATAATGTCAGTTTCAGAAAATGTTTGGTTAGCATCAGAGTGATTTTTTACAAAGTAGGATTTATCCCTCCCTAAGACCAGATACTTGTATCTACGTTGGCCATTCTTTTTGATGAAACAAAGCAGGACCAACTCTTTCAATTTGTCTTTTAGTTTGAAATGGGGAATACTTGTGTAAAGTGTATAAAAGTCAAATGTTTTAATACTATTGCAAGATGAAAGAGTCTTAGATTGTATGTACTCTAAAAGATCTTTGGATTTTTTTAGTATCCACATCTGATTCAAGCCACCTCTAGAATAGATAGTTTCACAATTACTTTGAAGCCCGGCTTTGATTGCTGATAAAAAAATGAAAACACGTTATGAAATTGATGTTAAAAATTTAGAAAGAGGTTTCTTGGATCACTTGGAAGACCAAGCAAGATACCGTTGTTTGTAAGGACACTTATGTAGTTTAGGTAACCAATACAGTGATTGAAAATCCAGTTCTTCACCTTTGGTTGAAATTCCAAAGGAACATAGGACAGACGTATGATTATCCAGGATTTTCTCTTTAGTAAGTATCGTGAGGTATATGTTGAGTTTCCAAGTGAATTGTCAATACCTAATGCATTCATCCAACAGTTTATGTTATGTGATTTACACACGAAAACGATGTTGTTTGGGCTTTATCTGCGGGGACAACAACATATTTGTCATGGAGGTAGGACAAGTGTTTAGCAACATTTGGGTATTTAAAAATTGATGTAGCATGGGTATTAATACACCCAATCAGTTTCTTGTTATTTAACAGGGTACAAAAGAAAAGCTGAGGTATCAGTTAAGGCTAAAATGTATAGTATACAACATATAACCTATTGACATAATTTCGGATCCTCGATTAAATGCTAGAATAAAGATTTCTAATAAAAGAGTTTCAGGCTTTGATGTTTAAATTTTAATGGTAATGATCTTATTTATTCGTTTATTCAATATAAATGATATGTTTATAAAAATAATTAGCGCATCCAAAGATACATGTTTTTTCCCCTAAAAACAATATAGAACTATTTTGTTTCTCATTGTTGTTTTAATGCCCAAGTGCTGATATCAGATTGTAATTTTTAAATGTTTAACCAGATGAGTAAAATTGTTATTTTGTGTGTGATTAGGGTACAGTTTCTTTTAAGATAAGTGTTGATAAACGCGTATCATCTGCCATCTTTGTTGACTGTATACATATGGTCCAGTTTATAAGATACGGTAAAGCGTTTCCATTAATGCAGAAGTAAGGATATACTTGGATACCACCATACCCGTCTACCATATATTGGATTGATCACCGGACAAGGTTTCCTGTCATAAAAGCCTTATAGTTCTGTAGTTTGTTGTTTCTTCATATCATATCTATAAATGAACAAAAGCAATTTATATATTTACTATTAGAGTATACTTTGCTTCAGCATAACGGACTTAGTATAATAATATTTTTCACATTTTGATGGAGTTTCGTTTGGTTATATATCATTGACGTTTACCTTATGTATTGTTTTTTTTTCTTATGTTCTTACGAAGTACTCTTCATAGATTTAGAAATGAGTATAAGATTAAAGATTTTTGACAAAGATGCATTTCAGGAATGTAAAAAAATAATTGGAAAGTTAACGCTATACTTTACAGTAATTTCCCATTGAAGTTTGTTAACAACGAAAAATTCTCATAATGAAAAAATACAATACTGCTATCTTCATTGGAATATACACTACTGAATAATAATTTTTTCCCGTTATGATATAGAATAGGATAGATTAAAATTTTTTTTGATAACATTAAAAAATAGTCGGAAAATACCATGATAAGATTCAAAACTTATGGAATGGAAATCTACAACGCCATGCCAAACCACTATAGCATCACCATCAGATAAAGGTACCCCTCCCCCCGAGGCAATAGAAAAATTATAACAAAAAGTATCTATTCCATTACCCGTACAGTAAAAACTATTAGCCGTACAATGTATCCGCTTTATTTACATGACTTTTTCTGAAACAATCAGTCTTTTTTAGGAATACAGTGTTGTTCAAGCTTTAATATGATATAAATTTGAAAACATCGAATGAATGGTTGAAAGATAGTGTTGATACAAGTTTGAACTCGTCACATGCTTCTTTCAACAGGACCTACCCGCTTCATTTCTGAAGATTAGAAGAGAGAAGACGCCAATTAAGGATCTTAAACAGCCCTGAATAGTAGATATATTATTAGAAATGAGCATAAAGAATATAATAAAAAGAAATAGAATTTGACCTTACCTGACTTCCCATTTGTTTCTTCTACCACCTCGAGGGTACCTATAAGCGGTGGTGATGCTAAACAGTGCAATCGGGCGTTTATTTAGTTGTAAATTTTGAAATAAAATCAGCAGGCAAAAGTGTTTTAATGCGGAAGAAATGTAATAGGTCAAACGTTAACGGAACTGTACATAGGAAAAAGCTACTATTTACTCAGTATTGTTTACCCAATGAATTTAAAACTATTGTCGAATTCAAACAACACATAAATAAAATACAAGGGGTTGAACAAACCGAACATGAATTGTCATGAATTGACGCGGGAAATGACTGTAAAGTATAGCGTTAACTTTCCATTTTTTTTTTACATTCCTGAAATGTATCTTTGTCAAAAATCTTTAATGTTATACTCATTTCAAAATCTATGAAGAGTACTTAGCAAGAACATAAGAAAAAAAACGATACATAAGGTAAACGTCATTGAGATATATCCAAACGAAACTCCATCAAAATGTGAAAAATTCACAACATTAATTACCAACTATGCATTATAGCATGCCTGTTATATTTTTGAGGAATTCTTCTGCACCTATTGCATTTTGCATCCTATATTCTCATTTACATGATAAACATGCCGTTTATACTAATTTTAAGCAATGTAACTAATACACGTTAAAATTGTAGATGAATGATAAATGTCATACTTACTTTTTGAATCTCTGTTTTGTTGCATATGTAGCAAACACTGCTCCAACGATGGAGAGAATTGCAATAAAAGCTCCAACACCTCCACTTATTATAGGTGCATTGGTATCGTAAACTGAAAATTTCAATTAGAAAATATAATAAATAACAAATTTTATTTGAATACAAAATGTGCATATTACAAAAAAATCTGGCTAGTGTTGGTATGAGGAAAAAATATCTGAAATAAAAAATCATCATACATTTAAGATATTTTACTAACAGAACGCCACAGAATAGAACATGTGTACAGCAGGGTCTGTTCTACAACAATAACATGATACATATGTACAAATACAGATAAAAAACATGAAAGAAAGTATGTTTCTAATTTTTTAAGCCGTATCAATATTCATATTCATTTAACATGTATAAAACTGATAAAATACCACTTTTTTAAAATCATATTTCTTCAGATAGAAAGCTATCCTTTATGTCTTTATATTTGGTGAATTTAAAACGATGTCTGCATGTTGTTTGCTTTTAATTATATTGTTCAAGGTGAATACCAGGAGAATATTGTTGGATAAAAATGCCACCAACAACCACACATACTATTATAACAGTTGGAAAGCAAGTCCTTGGAAACGTCCGTTGTCGTCAAGCTCTATCAGTAACAATAGCAGGGGGAATTAATTAGGTGGAGCTACAGTCGTCGGTGACGTTAAAAAGTCCGCGAAATCAATCGGCTAAAAAACCGACGTTTAAACTATTTTTTTTTCAACTTGTCATGCTGTTATTATAATTGATTTTTAAAGTTTGTAGGTTTTGAAAGCAATATAGTTTCAGTACGACATAGAAACATTGTCCAAAATAACTTTTAGTTGCTATTTATTTATCCTGTCCGTTCTAAAAATTATCAGTCATCTTTTTTGTTCGCCAAAAACATCGAATTTAGATAACTTGACGTTTGCGTATCCAAACACGGAAAAGAACGGTAAAAATCTATAATGAAACCGGGTAACCTACTTCAAATTTCTACACAATTATGAAGCCATCATTTTTTACTCTAATACACCAATTTTAGTGACCACCAGTCATGTCAATTTGTAGCTGGTTTTGGCTGCGTTTCTAGTTTAAAACAGTGAATGTTCATCTTCTTTTTATTGTACCTGTTTCCAAGTACTCTAAAATACTGATTTTATTAAAGATATGAATGAAATTGTGGTTAAAGGTTGTTGTTTTTCACAATTCCATACGATACCTCCATTTCAAAGTAACTAAAACCCTTCTTGATCCCCTACACTAATTGAAGGTGACATTGTTTTCTTTTTTCAACATACGTCATATAACGTTAACAAAATATGTGTCAGGGTCATGTGCATAGTGAAAGTTTACACATTGGAAAAGTGAAACAAATATCATCTTTATTGCGTTTGAAACTGTACGTCTTTGAATATTTCATTCATACTGGAAGTAAATCTGACTGATTAATAATAGCCTGTGGATAGACAAAAACACAAAAAAATAGCAAGAGAAAATGACTTGCAATGAAAATTACTGGAGAAAAAAACACATCATATGAAAAAGGAAATGAAGGTCAGTTATTTATATTTATAATTTCAATATAAGTTAAAATCTTGCTTTTTTGATTATCTCTTTACTAAATAAGCTACAGTAAAGTGCAAATACTAGCTTATAAAGTCAAACAAGAAATTGAATTCATAGAGATGTTTTCTTACAAATTTGAACTTATTCAAATGGCAAATTCTTGTCATATTTAACAATCCATTGATCATTAAGTAAAAGGCACCATATTTGTCCCATCAACTTTCATTTGTGATACAAATATCCAATTTTTAAGGTAAAACATACAATACTTTGTTTATTAATATATATACCAGCTGATACAGCAATCAATAATAATGATTTTAAAATTCAAAATTATGTCACTATAAATAATTTTAAGTTTTATTTTTTACTGAATTTCTGTCAATATTTTTGGTAAACTTATCCTTTTTCTGTAGGATATTTTCTAGGCAGTACTGTACTGTTTAACTAAGAAACATAGGCTTGAGTTAAAAGGCATTTTTACTTTGAAGAAACTATTGTGACTCTTGGTCTCACTTTTAAGAATATAACATATAAATGATCAGTACTATTTATTATTTTTTTTTAGAAAAATTATTTAAATTGTATAAAGTATGTTTTATTGCATTAAACATTGTTAGAAGTATTTAAAAAAAAAATGCTACTAGGAGAGATCACATATTCCATTATAAAAATTACAAAGTAAATTTCATCAGCCAGAGCTAATTTATATCAATTCAGCTAGGTTTCTATGTGATATTTCTTAATTGTCACCAATTTTTTGTCTTCTATTTTTTACCACTAATCCTTCTCTGAATAGTAGGGAAGTATCTCTTCTTATTATTATAATAAAATACTTGTAAATCGAATTTCATTTATTTTCTTCTTGATTTTTGTACAGTAAACTCCTTTTTATTCATTTTTCTGGGGTTTTTTTTGACAAGTGATATCAAGTAGAGATAACCACTTGCACTAATCGGCAAAAAAACCACCGCTTCGTGTTGAAAATAACTTGACGTTTGCGTATCCGAAACTATATTGCCTCGATATTTATATCGAGTGTTTGTCTTAATCAGATGCTTTATTAGATTTAAATTCAGCCCATCATTTTTAGTTTCCTCGAAAATATTTTGATTTTTCGATCAAGAGATAGACTTGACAATTTTCACACAAACTTCAAGTTTGAAGATAAAATGAAGAATAAAGGACATTGAGTTGATGTGTAAGTTTTGACGAGTTAAAACTATGTATATTCAAGATTATTTTGATCAATAAGTTTTTATCATGACAGTGGTATTTTAGTGAGTAAAAATAAGGTTTGTCTAATCCGTTGTTTTACTGAATTTTCACTGTCACGTGACTCTATTGTTGCTGATAGACTTGGAGTCAAACCGTGACCTGCTTTCCAACTGATAAGTATTAATTGAAACCGTGTTTTACAGACTGTTATATATTTAAAACTATCATTAAAACTTCACAAGATGGCGCGTAATCATTTCTAATTTTTAAGATGAAAGTTTAGATTCAAACTGGGTAAGTTAATCTGTCATAATGAGATAACACAATGCATATATGTATGAAATCTTAGGATTGTTTTTCATGAGGGAGCTGCAAGATACCAAAGAAATATTCTAAGTCATAAGTAGATGGCAATCTTACAACACCATTGCAAAAAACAAAAATGGCAAAAATGGCAAAAAAAAAAAAAAAAAACAACAGAAAACAAAACGCAACATAAAAACTGAGCAACACGAATCCTACCAAAATTGGAGGTGATCTTAGGTTCTCTGGAAAGTTAAGTAAATCCTGCTCTGAATATGACACACGTCAAGTTTCTGATGTAAGTACAAACTGTCTTAGTCGCTGATGTCAAATTCGAGGATAATTCATGTTCGGTTTGTTCAACCCATTTTATCTGCATGTTGCTATCAAACTCTAGTTTCCTGAATAGCGATAGACCGTATAATGCAAATCCAAGTGTTTGGAATTAAAAGATACCATCAGTACTTACAAGTAGCCTTTGTGCTATTGGTAACTGTTTCTGTTGTATGTCTTGGTGTAGCTTCATTTGTAAATTGTATCGTCATTTTTTCAGTTGTTTCCTTTGTTGTTGGAACGAACGTCGTGATGTCTGTTGGATGTTCAGTTTTTACATTTGTTGTTTGGCCAATTGTTCTGCTCTGTGTTGTAGGTTTACTTGTAACTTTTGTAGTTGGAACCATTGTGGTGCTTTGAGTTGTAGGTTCAGTTGTAACTTTTGTAGTTGGAACCATTGTGGTGCTTTGAGTTGAAGGTTTAGTTGTTACCTCGTTCGTTATCACTTTGGTGGTAGTGATATCTGGTTGTGTAGCTCTTTCTGATGAAATGGCCGAAGTTGTTTCTTCAGCGCCTACCAAAATATCTCTTAGTAAAAATATCATCTTAAAACATCAAGACAAAACAATTTAAAAATAATGAAGCTGCGTGATATTTTAACATTAAATACATATTATGCAATTCTTCGTATAAATAAGTTTTGAATTGTACAAATTTAGATGGAACGCATTTATTAAAAAAAATATGTTGCAAGATATTTACTACTTAAACAAATAAATACAAAGAATGTATTCAATCAGATATGTTTTAATATATTATACTTCAATATAAATCAATATTTTGAGAAGATATAGGTCAGTGTTCGAGTTTGAGAACAAATAAAAATAAAACTAGCGATATTTTTTATCGGAAAATAGGCTGTTTCTGAGGTGAATTTGTAAAAAGCAGATTTTCAAAATAGTCCATAAGTGGTGTATATGAAATGAACGTGTATTTCGTAATATAGAGAAATATTAACGTTTATTGACCAAAAATTGTAAAATATCCTTGAGCTGTAAACTATTATAATAGAAAAGAAAGGATATGGGGTATGAATCCGTGACACAAAATCAGTATCAGCAATAAAAAAAAACCCAAAACAACCAAACAAATAAAATAAAAAAACAGCGTTTTTATTGCTGTTCCTCATCTCAAAGTCACTGTGATTCAACACGTAGTAACTAAACTCTCAAGAAATCAAACACTTCGACTATTCCTCTGAAGCAACGGTAACATATCGAACGTTATATTCCTTTAGTTAACAAATAACGCACACAATAAATTAATGAACAAAACAAGAAGATAAAGAAACAAAAAACGATGACATAATATATATTTCATAAATGAAGAAAAACAACAAGATAATATATATTTCAAACCATAAACAAAAACAACAAGATAAAGAACTAAAAAACGAAGACATAATATATATTTCTATATGAAGGAAGCTCAGTGAAACTAGTAATACCTGTCATAAGCGGCGTGAATAAAATCTTAGTATACGTACATCATTGTAATGCAGATTAAAACATTATGACAAAAACAAGACCATTTTTGAAATGTATGCCTTGCATTTGCTAGAATTATAAATGATTGAATTTGTATTTGCCCTCGCCAGTCGATAAAAAAGTTTAAAAGTTCTAGAAAAGTGTATGCAATGAAAGTCCCCTGTAACATTTATAAGAACTAGTTGATTTTTCAACGATAATAAAATAGCCAATTAAGTCGTGAGTTAAATCTTTTACTTAAATAGTTTTAACGGTCACATATCGAACGTTATCGATCTACCTTGTACAAACAGTATTTCAGAATGTTTTTTCTCGAAATTATGCATGTATATGTTAGCGGCAATAAGTAAAATTAGGCATTAAGCTTAAATCCTAGGCAATAAGCTAACGCCTAGACATTAAAAGAGGGGCGAAAAATACCAAAGGGACATTCAAACTCATAAGTCGAAAATAAACTGACAACGCCATGGCTAAAAAAGGAAAAGACCAACAGACAAAAAATAGTACACAAAACACAACATAGAAAACTAAAGACTGATCAACACGAACCCCACCAAAATCTGGGGTGATCTCAGGTGCTTCGGAAGGGTAAGCAGATCCTGCTCCACATGTGACACCTGTCAAGTTGCTCATGTTAGTACAAACCCGGTAATAAGTCTAATTCGGTAGGTCACATTCGGGAAAAGGGGACGGGATTGTAGTGACGACATTAGGAACATATCCGCTATCATCTGTGAAACGGATATTCCACAACGGTGAACCAACTCGTGATGACGTCCGTAAAATTTACGAAGGGATGATTTCAACTTCACCATTTGGAACTAAATTAAATTAGAGCAAAGTAGATTAGACACAAGTAAATCATACTTTTGAAGTCTTCTCCATAATACAATATGAATATATACAATAATAATATAATGAACATGCATGTAAAGCAAACAGTTTATAGAATATTATAGACAAATAAAAAAGATGGAGCAAAGATTGACTTTGGTGTTGATGATGATTTCGCTGATGACGATGGTACCTGTCAGTATCAATGACGTGCTATGAAGGTACAAGAAATCTGTTTGACCTTTTGATGAAATTCTGAACATGTTTGAAAATTTGTATATCAATTTAAATAGTGTGCACTTCCCGTTTGTTTAACTATCATAGGTCTCAGTTAGATTTTTACAGTTTATCCGTTACTGCAAGGTCGTATGCAAGAGATGCAAGTGAAAATCCAAAATATGTTTTTGCTTAAATCTTTAAATCTGACAGACAAAAATAAAACTTGAATCAATACATAACTAATTTTTATATTACAACAAGAGATTGAAAACAATTTAAGTTTCATTGTAAGTTCGCTAATTATTATATTAGTTACTCACTTGGCCATGGATCTATAGAAGTTCCATAAAGCGTAAGAGACCAGCTGTCTAATGAAACTACAAGTATAACAGATATTTGATTACATTAAATACCGAGTACCGCATGCAGAGCATATTATACTTACCAATAACGAGCAACGGTCAATATCTATGTTTTTGGAATTCATCTTGATGATATGTGATATTGTACTGCTCTGTTGTTTTTTTTGTGTTCGTATAAGCAAAGTATCAATTGTCAGTTTGTAGTAGTTTATTCATGTGGTATCCCTAAAGCGTAATTATTCGTCAGTTTTCATAGCACAGTAATTCTAAGAATTGGAATTGTATTTCTGTTACAGTTAAATAACAATTCAAGACCATTTGATATTATTTCTATGACTCATTATTTAAAAGTCGTTTTCAGTGCAGTCCTTAAAGCGTAGTTGCAATTTACCGTACCCTTCCTGACTTCGACTTCACTCATTAATATATTGAGATCAAAATGGAGACAGAAAAGATGTTTTCATGCTTAAAATCCGAAACTATGCAGTTAAAACTATACATTATTACCGGTTATAGTATTGATGTACGAAGTAATTTCAAGTCCCCAACTTCCAATGGGAGATTCCTTCCAAAAATGTACCGACATGAAAGTCCAAGTTAGATTTCCGGCTGTTTCATTATCAACAGCATCTTGTTCCCTGTAGTGTAATAAATGACTTCTGGTACCAGATGGAGATACCAAATACAACTGCGTTACACCTCTAAAGGCTGAGTAGGAGAATGTAATGTCAGCTTTCACGTGTTCTAGATAGTTAATGAATGGACAGTCACCAGATGTTACAGTAATAGAATCAGAGGCCGAGGTAGTGGTGCTCCTGCAAAGTAAATAGGATATTTGTGTCAAAATTCTAAGTGTATTCCAATTATTCACATCGACATTAAAGCCAAATTATATAGGTGTATGGTGTTTTGCTTAAACGGAATGATTGGATGCTATAGCAACAAAATAATATATGTTTGATACGTTAATACCACTTTTGGACCATTTTACAGACAGAACGATGGATACATGTATATGCTCCCGTAACATTTTGTCGTAGAAATTTTCATTGGGTAGGCTGTGACACAGCAGGTGTCAAAGGACCAATGGAACAGAAAATCAAAATGCCATAAAATGGTTAAGATGGAGAGCAATGAGCCAAGGACCACAGAATTAAAGAAGTTGGCTGTTTGAATTAAACTTAACTATTTTTAAATGATGCCTCCTTTAATAGATAATGAATACCACATGAAAAACCTTTGACAATACATGTAGGTCCGTTTGCTTGTTTGATTTAAAAAAAAATAATTTGAAGAGTATATATTAAAATATACTTTTTCACTTTTTTGGTCTTTTGGAAAATGTTGTTTGTGCTGTATTTAGACCCCTCTACCAAGAAATTTGTTTTGCATGCACACGTATAAAAATTGCGGTTTTTATCCAACGCAATCTTAGGTTTGAACGTTGTTTTCAATTTAGACTTGTTTATATTTTTTCGTTTGGGCTTGTATCATATTTGCCTTCGGGTTTATATGATCCGTTCATCCTATTTCGACTCTTCAAAATTCAAGAGTCTATCCTAAATTGAGGTAAATTATATGGCCTTCCAAATACTGTTTCGATTCCTAACATCACTGAAGAGACATTAATTGTCGGAATCCGGATATGGTGTACTAATTTTTGCACCTTTTGTTTGCGGTATACCCTCTTTTCCGCAAGTTTATTGTTTTCTGTTTGGTATTAAATTAATAGTTAAGATCCATTTTGTTACATCTGGTGATCTGTTTATTTGGCAATCGCCAATGGCAGTCAGCAGGGTTTAAGAACATCCGTTGTTCGACCTGCTAGTCAAATGCGTTTTGTTAAAATATACTTTTTCACTTTTTTGGTCTTTAAGAAAATTTTGTTTGTGCTGTATTTAGACCCCTCTGCCAAGAAATTTATTTTGTATGCACACGTATAAAAATTGCGGGTTTTATCCATCGTAATCATAGGTTTGAACGTTGTTTTCAATTTAGACTTGTTTATATTTTTTCGTTTGGGCTTGTATTATATTTGCCTTAGGGTTTATATGATCCGTTCATCCTATTTCGACTCTTCAAAATTCTATCCTATCTGATTTTTTTCTGAAAATTTTAAATACAATTAATTACACTTAATTTTTTTTATAGTTAAAATAGTTGAGAGGTTTCTGTTGTATATTGAATGATATAAGAAGATTGAAAGAGACACCCGATCTACATTAAATATGAATTTTGTTCTTATTTTGTATTGCTGACTCATTAAAGTAGATCAATCATCTCATAAACACAATTGTTATTGAGAATTACGATGGAAACGAGTCGTAACTGGATCAATTATTGCGCTTAACAAAAGGTAGAAATTCCATCACGGAAAACTGATTTCTAACCGCTTAGGCTGTTTAACTCAGGATTTTGGGATATATCCATACTTTCGAAAGAATAGTGTATTTGGCTTCTACAAAAATTAAGTTTTTAGTTTTTCTGATGGAGAAAATTTTGTTAACTTGTCCTGTTAGGAAGATAAGTATCATGTGTTTATAGTATTTATTCCAAGATAATACTTAATGTAATGAATATCCTGTATTTATCATGATTTTCAATTAACGAAATTGTGATTGCTGAAAGACCGCCTCCTTAATGTTTTGCTTATGATCTTATGAATTTATCTAAAACGTACATTGTAGCCGTGCAGGACTAAAATTCTAAATAGGACATTCTACCTTTCACAACGTAGATTCCAAATTGATGGTTTCGTTCTTCAACCCATTGGCATTTTATCGTAATCTACTTTTGTTTACATACATACAATCGTCATATCAAGATATATAGCTAGGCTGGTTAACAAATTAACGAAACAAACCATAAGCAGTAATAAAAACCATATCACTTTATGGCATATACATTGTACTTACAAAGCTGGAGAACTTGTGGATGAACTGCAAGTTTCTTGTGTTGGAACTGTTACCCAGTTTTGTCCGAACTTTACCATAGCTTCGGCATCTAGCAAACCAAAACCTAGCACCTGGCTGACTGTTAATACAGCAAACAAGAAATAAGTATTTGAGGAACATGCAACTTTACTGTCAATTTTTTTCACTTACGTATTCTCCTTGTTGAAATAAAAAAAAAGCATTTAAATATGTAAATTTTGTTTTTAAATATAACATCGTTGAAGTCTCAAACGGTTGAAAATAAATATTGCTCGGTGTGCTTGTTTTGAGATATAAGTGTATAGAGTAAATAAGACAATACAAAAAACGACTTCAAACTGTATGCAAAGTACAGCAAAAAAGCTAGAACTTTATGAAAAAAAGGCAACAGAGATACCGACGGAGCAGGCAAAAATAATTTGTCCAATAAAGATAAACTAAACTATGATTAAACAGAAAAACGATTAAAACAAAAGGAAAATAACTTAAAACTACAAAGAAAACTAGACTGAGCAAGACATCTCTTACCAAACACGGAAAGGGGGGAGGTATATCAATTGATCTGGTTTGATTAGCAGATACTGCTCCGAATGTTGCCTTACGAGGGTGTATTTGAGATATGGCAGGTTTAATGGTTTCTTGGCAGAAAGTTTGAGGACATCGAAAAAAAACCCCTGTTGAAAACAGTTGAAAATAAGACAAACGGCTACCCCAAGGTATAAACATACATATCTATCCTCAGTATATTTTTTTTTGTATGAAAAAATACTTGCATGGTTTTTGAAAAAATTCGTAACCAGTTTGAGATTTGTATTGAATTAATTGTTTGGGGGGTTTTAGATTTACAATAAATTTAGAACTAAACAATACTTTTTACATTTGTTTTATGTTTGGATAGAGCTATTGTCTTTTATTTAATGTATTTCTTCCTAAGAAACTCACATTCTTTATTTGCTCCGTTGATTGACCAATCAGAATACGTGTCATTGAAACCATTCCTGTTTGATGTGAAAACAATCAGATGTTGGATGTCTCTCCATGTCAGATTAGGACTGGCAATATGTAATATATATAAAGAGTAAACAATATACACAACTAAGTTTCAATATATCAAAGTTATTGTACAAATAAATTTTCATTTAAACAATTATGTTTAGAAAGCATATACCGAGAACGCACTTTAAATTCACATAAATCAACAAAATAAGTTAATAAAACATTAAGTTAAAGAGACGTTTTTGATTTTTGCATGCGCTATATTACCAGTTTATGATCTTTACTTAGTCTAGAATGTAGAAGCAACAACTAAGAACAATACTTTTATCTATACAATGTATGTGATGAAATGTCATGTCTGTCATATTGAGACAATATAACTAGCAGCTTCATGTATACTCTAATGATTTGCCTGAGCTACTGAAACACAATTACTTTGTGCAATGTATACTAGATTTGATATTGAATGCGAATGTATCAACTATCGTATTTGTATATTGAGTATCGCATTAATAAAAACTGGCAGTCTGATATCTTATAAAAAAATAGGTATGAAAAATTTTCCTGAAATCGCAATAATTAATCTCGCATTTTTGTCCAATCTATAAAAATCTCAATGATAAATGCATTCAATAATGTCTGAATGTACAGTATGGTTAGTCTCACCTCGAGATTTGCTTTGCCCGAGTGTTTGAACAAGAAAGTCAACAATTGAGGAAACATGCGTTAAAAAAAGGAATCATACAACGTCATCAGCTATATGTGACAATACTGATATGCATAACAAGAAAAGTCTTTACTTTGCCTCGAGTGTAAGAGCAGCAATACCAGCGGCTATTGGTGCTGCAAATGACGTTCCTTGGACACCCTCGCTTTTACAGCCAAATGCTGTTGTAGTTGTTGTCTAAAATAAATAGTTCTTATTTAGCTTATATGCATTAAAAGAGAGGCGAAAGATACCAAAAGGGAATTTTACACTGTTTGCAAAAGTATGAATTATTCTAAATAATAAGGATGTTCTTATCCCAGACAGAAAACCTTAGCCGTATTAGGCACTACTTTTTGGAACTTTTGGTCCTCAATGCTCTTCAACTTTGTACTTGTTTTGGCTTTCGAACTTTTTTGATCTGAGCGGCACTGGTTAGTCTTGCGTGGACGAAACGCGCGTCTTGCGTATTAAATTTTAAACATGGTACCTTTTGTTAGCTATTATTCGTATGTTTCTCTGTCCTATATGTTCTCCCATTTATTTGTATTGTAGTCCTGTCATGTAATGTTGTCATTTTAATGTTATATTTCACATTGCCATAAAAGCGGGAGGTTTGGCTAGCCACAAAATCAGGTTCAACCAACCATTTTTTTTCTTAAAATGTCCTGTACCAAGTCAGGTAATGGCCATTGTTATATTATAGTTCGTTTCTGTGTGTGTGTTACATTTTAATGTTGTGTTTCTGTTGTGTCGTAGTTCTCTTCTTATATTTGATGTGCTTTCCTCAGTTTTAGTTTGTAACCCGGATATGTTGTTTTCTAAATCGATTTATGAATTTCGAACAGCGGTATACTACTGTTGCCTTTATTATTCAACAGTAAAAAATAAACTGAAAACGCTATGGCATAAAAAAAAAACACAAAAAGATAAAGAACAGTATACAAAACACATTATAAAAAACTAAAGACTGAGCAAGACGTACCCAAACAAAAACCTGGGGTGATCTCAGGTTCCCCAGAATAGTAAGCTCATGTAAGTACAAACCCGGTGATAAGTCTAATTCGGAAAGTCAATTCAGGTAAAGAAGGACAGCATTGTGATTACGACGATTTCAACATATTCGTCGTCATCTGTGAAAGAAATATTCCATAACGGTCAACTAACTCTTGATTTTTGAAGGTTTCGAAACTTCACCACTTGGAATTCCTAGTTAAATAGCTTCCTTATGAGCAGCAACCCTCTATCAAAGAAATCCTGATAGGAAACGCAAGCGCTAGAATATCGTATATACTGGAAGTTGAACGTTGTTTTCAATTTAGACTTGTATATACTGTAAGCTATATCCTCCATATAACTGTTCTATGTTTCTTTTCTAGATTCAATGAAGACGTGTATTGCCATTCAGGTTTAACTTATATTATATCATTGATATAGTCATATTAATAAATTAATAGTAACAAAACTTTAAATTGTTTTAAAAACTAATGATTGTCTTCTTTTTTGATTCGAGGGTCACTGATGAGTCTTTTATAGACGAAACGCGCGTCTAGTGTACAAAATTATAAGTCAGGTATCTTTGAAGATTTATCGTCAATGCAATCGTATATATATAATAACCATTCATTGAAATATATAATATAATTGTACACAACCTAGAGATAGATAGAATGCGAGGCTGAGGCGAGTGCAAATAAATTTGATATCTCGAGACAATATATTGGTATGTTCTTTACTTCTACTCTTACAACTGTTTCCATCGAAATATATTAGATAAAAAAAATCAATCTTGGACTAGAAGCAGACGACCAAGACGTTAAATATATCTCTATTGTATTCTTACAGGAGAGGCAAAAGATACCAGAGGGACATTCAAACTCATAAGTCGAAAAAAATACTGACAACGCCATAGCTAAAAAAGAAAAGACTAAAAGACAAACAATATTACACAAAACATAACACAGAAAACTACGGAATATTTATCAACAAGGTCTAAGTATCTTCCGATGAACTTGTTTAGAAAAAGGACGAGACGTTCTTTGACATAAACCTGGTTCATCAACTTTCTGCTAGACACTGGTGACGTTTCATAAAGTCAAGTAGCTGCAAGCTCTTCAAAACCAAATGAAATGTAAATCCCATATGCAGGTGAGGTTGGTATATTGCTACTAAGGTGGGGGAAATTGATAATTTCAAAATTAAAATCGTCTTGTTTGTCATAGATTCTGGTACTGAGATGACCGTTTATGTCAAATTCGAGGTATAAGTCTAAAAATTAGGCAGAGGAAACCGTGTCTGTCGTTTCTTCAATTTCTAGTTCTAGAGGATATAATAATAGAACCCAATCAGAAAAGTATTGATTGATAATGGAAACAGCGTATTTGACAACCTCTGGAATTGTAGCAGCTAGGTGTTTTACGTAGCGACCACCTCGAAAACTCTCCTAAATATATTGTATATAATTTCCCTATTCAGACAGAAAACACTAACTGCAATTATTTAAACCCCACACAACAACAGAAAAAAAAACCCAAACTATTTCATTACATCTTGAATACAAAGGAAAGAAAAAAACCTTACAAAAGTCATGTATCGATATATATAATCTATATAATTACTGGTTTTTACATCATGTGTGCACCAAAATAAAGACTACGGTGAGCCATAGTTGAGAACTTGTTAAACCATCAGAACATTTTGCTGTACGCAATGAAAAAATAGAAAAATGATTGAGAAAATAATGTCGTTATCAAAAGATACACGTGTGTAGGGTATTAAGTTCTCCTAGTTTTAATTAACTTTAACGTTTTACTAAACCACAACATAAGACTTACCAGAAATCTATCATCCTCACTGCCACCATACGCTGCAGCTAAAGCAGGAGCACATACTTCAGAATACCATGCATTTTTACCAATTTGTACACTAGTAATGGCTACAGTATATATACTATTGGCATAACCGTCACCATTACAGTTGTCTGCAGTACCTCCGTTACCAGCTGCCCATATGTAAATAGCCCCTTTACCATTTCTTCCCTTTGATATGAATAAATGATCAAAATGTGTATAAAAATTTACAATGAGTGGCTCTCACGAATGGAAAATCTACATATTATATCATGTACCATAGAAAACATGAACATGAACGAATTTGCAATCCTTTCGACAAGATCATTATGCTTGGTTTAGAAATCGGATTACCAACTGGTGCAATACATGTTTTAACTTTTGTTGAGATAATCATTTGAACGGTTTTCATCTAGGAAAATTGCTTTTCTCCTTTGCCATCGATTCACTTTTGTTAGGCGATAATCATTGTTTTTTTCATTTAGGTATTATGTGGGTCGTTGTTCGAAACTTGTATCTTATTTTATTTCAGTTGAAGCTTTTAATGCTTTAAGGCAGGTTGAGGTTTAGAACCTTTGATGATTTTAGTCATGCTTTTGTATGGATTTTCTGGAGGTAAATTGTGCATACACGAAAAAAGTTATAAACAAGTATAAAATGCTATGGGTACCATTGTCGCCGTCATGTTGATGTCACACAAATAATAATGAATCTAAGTATCACTTACATGGAGAAGCTGTAGCTAACATGAAACATTGTATCGAATAGGATAATAGCATATTTTACTCGAAAGGATATCACAAATGAGGATATAAACTTTAAATATGTATTACAATCAGAAACACTATCTCACATGAAGACACGTTATCTTGAAGAAACTAAGGTTTCAACTCCCTCAGGCAAAGTTGGCCTTAGATGGATTTAGCTATTTTTTGAAGGTCCTTTTTGGTTTATAGTTCATCAACGTTTTCGGTTCTTATACATCCTTGGCTTTCAAATATTCGGCTTTAAGCGTTCCTGATGAAGGTAAATCCAGGAAAGCGTTTCGAACGCATGAAACTTATAACGTGTTGTTTTTATTTTTTATCTAAAAGTAATGAGAGACAATTTTCTAAAAGAACATCCTTGTTAATGAAACATGTAAACTGTTGACAAACTCGACGAACCTTACTTTTTACCAGATGTAAAAGCTAGCACAATTTAACTTTGATGTACACTGTCTATATTATACATTTTTATGGATAAGAGCTCATGAATATATATTTATCATTTACAATGATATTGAGTTGATTAGACATTTTCCATATCTGATAGTTAAGTGTTCTTTTATTTGGAAAAAAAAACTTCTTAGAGTGGATTCATATTGTAGTCCAAAACATGAAGTGATAGAATAAGGTCGACGATTTTAACTTCCAACAGGCTACCTCATAGAGTTGTTGCATGGTTTCTTTTACATGAAAAGATAGTTGCACCCTCTATGCACACATAATTGTATTCAATATTCACATTCTGACAATTGAATGGGCTTTAACAAATGCCGCAAAGCTTAACAAACATCATTCACTTAAGCAAGGGTTTTATTATCGGTCAGGAGAACTTCAGTTTGTATTTAGATATATACACTTACAATAGTTACTCCATTCTGCAGTGCTGCCTTCGTTATTGGACCAGGTTCTTCAAAACCAGTTAACTCCCCTGGTCCCCAGCTATTGTTGTATATATCAACCTTTGAAATATAGTGATTTAGAGCTTGGGCTTCATCTGAATCTAATATAGAGTTATCACCCAAAATTCGAATTCCTGTAAACCAAATAAAGTCATTGTAAAGATTGATAATGAGTTTTTGTCATGCCGTCTTGTTAATGTAATTATTTACAAACAGAGACATTAAGAATATCAAAGCATACTTCGTCTGAACCTTTTATTAAACCGGATACAATATTCTTTATCCGTTAAAACCGATGTAGTAATATTTCGTTTTCAAAATTAATTTCTGTCAGATACTCTTGTTTGTGTGGAATCAAAAACATATTTTCAGATTACCCCCCAAAAAAGACTGATAAAAGGCAACATAAAATATATTATAGCAAGCTGGATTTGTCATTTACAATAAACCCAAAAGGGAACTAGAACAGAGTATGTGCCAATACCATTGAAATAGCATTAACTGTATGGATGTGTTTGCACCAGATACGCATTTAGACAATAAATGGCTCTTCGGTTATGATCCCCGCCAAAATATGTGAAAATCCAAAGGTTTAAAAAAAAAATGAAGAGCGTATAATCCAAACAGAACAAAAAGTATAGCCATAGCCAGACAGGAAGTGTAGCTATAGCCGGACAAGAAGTGTAGCCATAGCCGGACAAGAAGTCAGAGCTTTGCATGAGATAGATATATTCAATTATCTGATTAACTCATTTCAAAGATAAAAGTAAACGAGTTCCTAGCTATATGTACAGTTTGTAATCGATTCTAGATTTTCCAAGAGAAACCCGAATGGATTAAAGATTTTATCAAAGATGCAAAACGCAAGACACTCTTACCAAATATTATGGCACCAATTTCTTTGACGAGTTTTCTTAATCTTTTCGGTACCCTACTCGATTTTGATACACTTAAATTCCCATGAAAAAAAGGGGCATCGGTTGCCGAGTGGTCTAAGTAGTCGAACTACTGTACCACTAGCCTGTCAACACTGGGGTTGTGAATTCGGATCCCGCACGGGGCAGGTGCACTCGAATCCAATCTTAATTGACTATGATTGTCAGGTTTTCTCCGGGCACCCCAGCTTCCTCCACCAATAAAAACTGACCGCCACGATACAGCACAACAGTGTTGAAAGTGGTGTTAACACCAATCAATCATTCAAAAAGTCAAAGGAAAAATATCCTTAAAACTGCCAAAAACTGAAACATTGGCCTTCGGTAGAGTCATGAAAAACGGCAAAACGTTTTTTTGTGACTTTACAAGTCTTGTTGATTTTCCTATTTGAATCATTTTCGTTCTTAAGATTCACCATGTTCATAGTACCATACTAAAAATAAAATTAAAAAAAGGAAATGGGGAATGCGTCAAAGAGACAACAACCCGACCAAAGAAAAGAAAACAGCCTAAGGCCACCAATGGGTCTTCAACACCATACCATACTACTACATTGAACTAAATTCAACCAACTGCAGATATATTATGACGTTGGCATAAAATTCTGAGTATATATTATCGTCTGATAAAGATCATGTGGATTGATGATTAGTTATGATGGTCCATTTGTAACTCTGGTTGGATGTTGTTTTATATCTTATCGTTTGTGGTTTTAATTCTATTTCTATTTTTCTGTATGCATGTAAAAGTAAAGATATTATTCACCTAGTTCATTTATAAGATTTTTAGGTTAAAAGCAACTATATGCACAGGATTCATTTGTTTTTTCACAGTTTGATTTAGAAGAAAACCATAGTTATAAAATACAAATAATTACACAATTAATAACACAATCCTATATTAATATTCTTGTAATGGTTAGAAAATATATCAAATAACACCATTACAAACTTAATCCCAATTTCATATTGTATTTTTAGAAATAACCCTGTGACGTCACTTTCTGTGGCGTTGATACATTCGTATGACGCACGGTTCATTATTCTATTGTGCTGTATTTGTGTTCTGTCGTAAATTAATTTTAGGTATTCGTTGTTATTCTGTGGTTAACATGTTGAAATGAACTATTATATTAATTATTTATGTATTTCTCTGTCCTGAATGTTTTTGCATTAATTTGTACTTTATTCCTGTCACGTAATGTTGTCATTTTAGCGGTATTTTTAACATAACTATATAAGTGTGGGGTTTGGCTAGCCATAAAACCAGGTTCAACCCACCATTTTTTCTTAAAATGTCCTGTATCAAGTCAGGAATATGGTAATTGTTATCACATAGTCCGTTTTATGTATGTTGGCGTTTGTTTTTGTAGCAGTTCAGTGTTTCTGTTGTTCCGTTTTGTTTCCTCTTATAGTTGATGTGTTTCCCTCAGTTTTGGTTTGTGACCCGGATTTGTTTCAGATAAATCGATTTATGACCATTGAACAGCGGTATACTAATATTGCCTTTATTTACTATATATCTAATATAATTTGGCTATTATATGACTAGAAGTGTTCAAACAAAGCCATATTTGCAAACAATTGTATGTATGAAGTTACCAGTCTGATATATGAATTCACTAGAACTGACTGCTGAATTCTGTTTTTTGCATACATTCAGAGCACAGTTATTGTTTTCTATACAGAATACCTTTATAATAATAAAATCATAGCCTTTACAGGCTAAATTATTTGTTTTATGACCAAGGGTTAGGAATTTTTCACTGTTTTTTGCCTCTGGGGCCTAAAATTTGCAAAAGAATTCTGCTGTTTCTGTGAATATGGAATATTTAGTACATTTTTAGGATAGAACATACTATTGTTAGTCTTATTGAAGTATTTTTGTATCTCTAGCTTGTAATTTTTTATGCCTCAGTCACAAGAAAGCACATTTAGGTCTTACGGACTACTTTTGAGTATTCGACAGGACAAAATCACCCCAACAACAATATTCATCAAGAATCTATGAGTTTCAATGACTGCGAAGAGTAAATATAAGCACTGCTTAACAATCCAAATTTCAAACGAGCATATATTGTGAATTTACTTTGCATACAGGGCTTTTAGGTAAACTATGCATATTGTAAACTGTGAATTTATGCTAAATCATCATAGTAAAGGTCAAGGATTTCTTAATCCTCATGAAATATTTGTATAACTTTATATTTGAGTTAATTTCATCAAGACTCTGAAGATAAACCAGATTTGGTGAAATTCTACATGTTTTCTTTTTTTCAACCAATATAGGTTGCACTTCTGTATATATAGACAATGCATTTCCCCATAGGAACTCCTTTTCGGCTATAACTGTACAACTTTTACTGTGAAGTTTCGTAAAAAAATATATCCTCGAATGGAAAGCTCATATGCACTACTATTTTTTTCAAAGGTCAAAATATAGGGCTGTGCGGCATATTTTCAACATTTATATGTCCCGAACTTCTAATAGTTTAAGGTTATACTAAAACTATGTACTACCCCTCTTTTCACTTTGGGACTTCCTTAGAATTCAAGGTGGCCGCTATTCATGTATACTGGCAACACTCCAAAGTTATGTCTTTATGAGATGAAACATAGATATCATATCTGGGAACCAGTACGTAAACAAAACAACATATATATGAATATTATATATCTCCTCAAAAGAGGCGTCGTTTGTGAAACAGCTGTATTTACGAAGTGCAACCTATAAGGAATGGCTAAATGCATGACATTTTTTTAATCTTCGTACTTCAGAATTGCCAAATATAAAATGGAGCAACAACACACGACCCTTCCGGGGAAAATGAGTTCACTGCCACATTTTGATATGACTCGTTTTGGTAAACTTTGAGTCTTCTACTCGTTGTTTGTGTGGTCATTTTACTCTGAGATTGTCTGTCTTTCTTCATTAATGGATTTTAATTGTCCCCATTGTTTCGCCTATTTAATTCACTCACCAATAAATTCATTTATTATGACGAATAAAATGTCATTCTATCAGCTAAACTATTAATTCGTTATTCATTCAGCATTTTGCAACATTGACCAAACTCTTGTATGATAATAGACAGAAATAAATTTCAATGAGAAGGAAAATACCTGTTCCGAGTCAGGAATATGACAGTAGCTTTCCATTGTTCCACTGGTTGATATATTCTAACGTTTGATTTTGTCAGTTACTGTAGTCTAATTATTTAACCGCTGTGTGAATGTTCGGAACTTTTGTAAAGATCTTTTTATATACTGGTGTCTTGAAATGTTACACCAATGGAACAATATCACACACCAAGAACTCTTGAGTTCTTTAATGCAGATATTTATCAATTTCACAGCAAACTTACCTATTAGAGTACAGCTAAATGCAACACCAACTACACATAAATTGTTGTCCTTTATCGCACCTATCACTCCACTACATTCCGTGCCGTGACTGAAATTAGACAAATACTATACTGTCCTACTGAAAACAAATTAATAAAATCACATTAGATATGAAAGCAAATAATAAAACTAGGATCGCAAATGCTTTTTTGAAATATTCTATATTAGCTACTTGCAGATGATTTTTTAATTGGGTTTACCATATTAAAAAAAAAATTTAGCATTTATCATTGCTATATTTAACATTTGCATAACATATATTTGTCCATGCATTCATTAACGGATAGAGGTTTACCAAAAAATATAGATATAATATACGGGGCTATTGTGTAAAACATGTAAAAGATAAACCGGAATTTTAACACATAAATAACAACGGTTCCTGGAATTGTTTTTCTTAATTCTGCCAGTGATCAACGTTCCTTAGATCATAAAAATGTTCAATTCAACCGAAAACGTACAAATGATTTGGTAGCCGAGCAAAATCAGCTATATATATAAAATCTTGTTTCGATTTAACATAAAAATGACACATCAGAACTTAAAAACACTTCATTCAAGTTGCAGCTGCTATAGATTAAAATTATCAGTATTTTCTTTATAATGCTGAATGCGTTATGATTCAAGTGTGCACTATGTTATTAGAAGGACAATTGTAAAAAAATAAAGTCCTAAATTAAGATAGTTTACTAATAACTGTAATGACTTTGATTGTTCGTAACGTAACGTTATACTTTGATGTTCCGTGTGTAACTTCACATCCTTGGTTACTTTGTTATGCTTTCTAATATAGATTCTAATAAACGTTCCACTGTCATTTCTTGTTGTTTAAGTTATTTCAATAACAACAACAAAATGACGAAAATGATGTAGAATTAAGAATCGGTAAACCTCGGTCGTAGCGGGTGTTACTTGTTCCGAATCGGAAAACCTCGGGCTCAGGCGGGTGTTAATTTAAGGCATTTACACCCGTTGCTTATATTATCATATGTTGCTATGGGTGGGCGGGGTTTATGAAAGGTTAGTGAAAATTAAAAAATGTCGCGTGTCAAATGTAATGAATGGATGATATAAGAAATTTGCATAAAGTATAATAGTAAGGATTATTACCTTGATCTGGTATGGTGTCAAGGAATAGTATCCGTCTTCAGCGTGATGATAATAATCATTACCTGTATCCGGCGTGATAATTAAGATTATAACTTGTATCCGGCATAATGACAAGGATTATTACCGGCATCCGGTTTTCATGATGAGGATTATTACCTGTTTCCGGCTTCATGCTGAGGATCATCATCATTGTCATAAAAATCTTTATCATTGTCAGTGTCCTGTGCAATATGAAAAAAATATGGATAGTTAACATGTCTTAATTAGATACCAATTAATGTTAGCAAAGTACAATGATTTAACCTTCCTACCTTCTTCCTGAAAATGCTTAGATGCACACATGGCCAATCAAAAGCTTACTAAATGATTACAGATGCCTCCTGTACATAAACAGGAAGTTCACTTGTAAGTTGTTACTAGTCAAAGATACTTGTGACAGGTTTTTTGACTGCTACTTTGGATTAGTGGACCAACATCAGAACTGTATTCTTTTGTATATCATTTAGTCTTGCATTGAAATGTAATTTAATAGACTTTCAGACCTTCCGCGGTGTGTTACATAAATCAAATTTTCATTCGAATCTGTCAAAATTTAATCATAATAGTTCATGTTCAATCAGTAATAGTTCGTTTCATTATCTTAATTTACAATGACATATGATATTAAAGCTGTCTTCTTACCACATTAGCAGCAAGATCAGGGTGGTCTGTTTGTAAACCATCATCCAACACTGCTATAGTTATACCCCTACCAGAGTAACCTTCCGACCAGGCTTCGTCGACTTTCATTGTCGGAGAAATATCACCATTCTGAAAACGTATCAACAGAGTTTGAAAATTCCTATTTTTTCACAACACCCGCAGAAAACATATTTACTTACTGTTATAATCATGGATGTAGAGACATACGGAATTAATCAGTATCAATTAATCAATCAACCAGTTATCAACTGAAACTTGATCTAAAATGTTTTAGTAGATATTGTTGAAAAAAAAAGTATCTCTGATAAACTAGTTTATTATTTGTTAGGCCAGTCGCGCGTTTTGTCTACGTATATAAGACTAATCAGCGGGGCTTCACCAAAACAGTTGGAAGGACAAATCAAACACGAAGCTGAAGAGAATTGTAAACCAATTGCAATACATAGTGCCAAGCCTGATGCGAGAACACCTTAGTGTTGTGAGTAATTGAATATTTGTAAACAGATATTTAAAGAAAATGAGCGCTTCATGCAAACACAGAAGTGCTGACAACTTGGCTGGCGATACCCGCGGGGACGAAACTTGAACAGTTGTATAGATTTGATTGTTGAAAAAAACTCAAGATACCAGGATTATCTTTCGTTACGCCAGTCGTTAGTTTTGTTAACATTAGATCCATTAGTGGAGTTCGAAAAATCAGAACATGTCTATATTCAGTTAAAAATTACACATGTGGGCGAAAACCGAAATCATTTTAATGAAATAAAGTTAAGGAATTGAAAAGACAGTAAACCCTGAAAAATCTTGTACTAGAACAAAATGGGATGTCGAACAATAATAATGATTAATCAATTCATGCACATTTTAACCTTTTAATAAGGTTTGGATTTTCTATTATTTTGGCCTCGTGCATTCCTGAAGAGACATTTATTGTCGAAATCCGCATCTAGTGCAGTATGATTGGAACTGGTAATGTCATCTTACCAAATATATAAATCAATTGCTGTGAGGAAAGGATTCAGAGGCATTGATCCGATTATTATAAAAAGTTACTAAAAACGCATAAAAAATACCAGGTTTATCTTTTGCTACGCCAGTCGTTTATTTTGTCTATATTAGACTTATTAGTAGCGCTTTAAAAATCATAGAGTTTGCCTATATTCAGTAACAAATGACACATGTGGGCGAAAAACAAAACCATTATCATTAATCGAAGTTTAGGAATTAAAAAGACAGTAACCATCAGAAAAATCATGATGCTTGAACAAAACGTGCAATTGAATTGTAAATCCTCATGTTCTACAGATCTTATACCAAATTAATAAATCTAAAGCTATGAATAAAGTGTTCAAAACTTGAATGTGACGGGAGTTATCAGAGACCCCGAGAAGACCAGATGGTATGCTAACCAATAGTTCGATTTTGCTGTAAAAAATTGTCAATGAGAACGGAATGTCAGCTATTTCGTGTTATAACAAAATTTGATTTTGCAAAAGTGCGCGGTAATGCTTCAAGTTTTTTTTTTTTATCAAAAATTACTTTGTTAGTACAATATCAAGAATTCATGATTTAAAAAGTCTGTTATTGTCGTGTACAAAATTCGCGGGACATGAACATTCAGTCATGGACAACTTATCAGGAGAAAAGTTTTGGGCCCTTACTATGATAATCAATGGAAAACATTTGTGATGTCCCCAAACACAACTTTTGAGTAATTCAAGTAATAGTAATACCCTATATTTTGATAAAGTAAGAAACCTTTTGTCAGCATGCCATTTCCATTACTTACCAAATACCAAAGATTCGGCCATTTTGTATCCAGTGTTCTCGTCCTTCTGGCGTGTGCCTTTTCTTGTGTAACCCATGAGATCTATAATGAAATAAAAAAAGCACCACATTCATCGATTTGAGCGATGAGGAGAACACAGATAATAGATTAAGTTCAAACATTAATTAGTTTAATCATGAAAGAGTAAAAACAAATTTCATGAAAAAACGATAGATATAGCTGCAAGTTTTTTCAAGTATAAACGCGCCATTAAAAAAAATCGGGAACATATGAATAAAAAGAGATGTTTGGTATATACAATTACACGTCAACGACACAAATAACCAAATTTCATCTACATGTAAATGAAGAGTAAGCTCTGCATTATGTCATGCTCCTAATCGCCAAAAGTCGAAAGTCGACAGTCCTTTTCTATGTATGTTGGCGTTCGCTTTTGTTGTAGTTCAGTGTTTCTGTTGTTCCGTTGTTTTCCTCTTATAGTTGATGTGTTTTCCTCGGTTTTAGTTTGTTACCGGATTTGTTTTTGCTTAATCGAATTATGACTATTGAACAGAGGTATACTACTGTTGCCTTTATTTGATGAGTCCATTATTTGAACAATGAAAAACATGATAAGAGTATATATTTTTTCAACTAGGTCTCAACATAAGACATTTAATTTACCACTTGATCTGCAGAAAAGTTAAGGTGTGTGATATTGATATTAATATTTAGACACATCTACAGTTCGGTAAAATAGATTAATTGCAGCGATGTATGTGACTAATACACATGCCATTTAATAAAACAATACATATAAATGTATGCAATGATACTTAACTCTGATTGTAATAATGTCATTTTGGTATGCTTAATCAATTATCTCCATGAAAAGCAGCTGATAGCAGTTTCAATATATTTTGATAAATTTTCTTTCTATTGATGTTATGTAAAAATTGCTTACATTATTTTCCAATTTCATTTCCCCATTTAAAAAAAAAAACATTACGCATCGGTTAGTTTTTTTTATGCGAACAAAACTTATATGTTTTGTTTTAATATAAATAATTTGATCAACTTTGCCGGGGTCATTAAGGTTTAAGGTGTGGTCAGTAATATTTTTAGATGTCATTTTTTACACCATGTAAAAAGTAAAATCACAAAAATACTGAACTCCGAGGAAAATTCAAAACGGAAAGTCCCTAATCAAATGGCAAAATAAAAAGCTTAAACACATCAAACGAATGGACAACAACTGTCATATTCCTGACTTGGTACAGGCATTTTCTTATGTAGAAAATGGTGGATTAAACCTGGTTTTATAGCTAGCTAAACCTCTCACTTGTATGACAGCCGCATAAACTAATGACACAGTACGACTATTCTTTAACGTTGTTGATAGTTCCGTTATATTGTCAAAATAGGGTGAGCAAATAAAACAAACATAAAAGGTAATGTGACAATAAAAGAGATATAGCAGTCAATACTGTGTAAAAGAGCTACGAAAGATATCAGAGGGACAGTCAAACTCATACACATACACATACACTACAGACATACAACACAAATGACTAAAAAATACAAACAAATATACTTACAAAGCTAACAAAGACGCAAACATTTTTTTTGCAGTTGATAGTACATACAGTTTATAGTATATACTATCTCGATAAAATACAAATTCAGTAAAATATAAAGAAAAGGGTAAACAAAATAGAAACAACACTGAAAAAACTTCTTGTGTCCGAATCACAACTATTGTCAATAACACAATATGAGAAACAATCTCAATACGCATGACGACATTTTTGTAAATATTGCCATAGACGAGTCGCAGAAAGATGATGTCATTCTTCTACAACTGCCAATAATGGTTCTAAATATAGGCAAATCTGTATAAACTTCACAAGTTAATTCAAATATTATCGCATTTGGACAAACGGGTTATGAGAAAATTGACCAAATTATTATATGGGTAGACGAAAAAAACAAAACAAGTACCATCGGGGGTTTGACAAAAACAAAATGCTTTATACATAGAAAACACATATGAATACATTTTATCATTTATCTTTTGTTTGGATTTTGATTTTGTATGTTCATTTAAATGTCGAATCTCTTTCATTTTTTACATCTTACCTCAGGATTTTGTCTCAGAAATTTCACATCAGGGTCTTCTTTGAGAGTACTTAATGCCTCTTTGGTTTTCGTCTGACGTATTTGAGCAGTGATATACTTTGCTTTCCCAATCCAAAACTAAAATATTTAAATGTTCGTTGTAATTGCCAATCAAATGTGAAAATATAACTGTATATGTTGTCCGAAGTCAGGGGTAAATCAGTGATTGTCGTATGTTGTAACATGTCATATTCATTATCGGTTTTCGTTTTGTCATTAAGGCATTTTGTCCTGTCAGGACCCTTTAGAATTGACTTTATAGTATGGGTTATGTCTTGTTGAAGGCGACCTATTGTTGCTTATGTTTTATTCATTTAGACACTGATGCATATTTGTCCCATTGACAATCATATCACAACTCCTTATTTTATATGGATTATAATTATGGATGAATATAAAGAACCTGTAAATTTCCTGAATCTATATTAATAGTCCCCATTTCTCATGTTTTCAAACCAAACACAATTAAAAAAAAAACACATCCTTCACTTTTTTTGGTTTCTTAGGAATATTGATTCGTTTGAATCTTTCAGATAAATAACCATACAGTTTGATATACTGTGCAAAAAAGAAAAGGTTAATGGATTTTTAAGAATTTTAATACAAGTATTTTGAATGGAAATTTTACAATTACTCATAAAGATATTCACTCAAACCGTGTTTGATTAAGAAGAAGACAGGTAATTCCTTCGAGATTGATGATTAAAAGTTAATTTATCACAATTAGAGGTACTTCCGGTGCCATTTAAGTGAGTATTGTGTATGACCACCTGCTAAGACTGCTACGTATCTCCTAGGCATGGATACTTTCAATGTTCTAATGTTAATGTGGAGATTTGCTCGCCATTCGTTTTGCAACATTTGTTGGACATACGAGGAAGCAAATCGTTCATTCATTCGTCGGTAGACACGAGTTCTTCCATCACGTTTATGAAGCTTGAAACGGGACTGAACCAGATTTTGCGCCAGTTGAAGAATGTCCACCCCCTCAATCTGTTGCACCATCGCAATCTATTCCGTCTGTGGAACGGCCTCAAAATAGGTCCAAAATACGACCTCCTGGGTCAAATGCCATGATGTCGAAGTCGAGTTTGGACTGTTTGTGAGCTGATTCTTCTCAATCCTGGTATCCCAACTGTAGTGGTTGTTGCGGCAACAGTTCGATTCCGTAGATGGAATCTTGTCCAGGAGTCGTTAGGCGAGGTTGTCCACTCCTCGGAGGTCCTTAGTACAGCCAGTCTGCTGGTATCTGTTCCAAAGTAGCGAAATTGTGCTCTGGTTAACATTTTCAGTTCTTGATACTTCACTTCAGGACACTCTGGCCGGGAGATGGCCGATGACGATATTTCGAATAGCAGGGTCCAACCTTGGCATGGCAGCTTTTTAACGTTGTGATGAATTAAATCTTCAAACTTGGTCCTTATATGCGCAAAAGTGTAACAGTTGAGTTGATTTCAAAATTCTAGTGAAAAAACGTTAGCAAAATTATGTGGCGAAAAAGGTCATAAACTCATCATAGATACAAGGATTGAAATTTTGTATTTGCGCCAGACGCGCGTTTCGTCTTCAAAAGACTCATCACTGACGCTCGAATAAAAAAAAGTTAGAAAGGCCAAATAAAGTACGAAGTTGAAGAGCATTGAGGACCAAAAATTTCTAAAAGACTACTGGGCTGGTGTTACCCTCGGGGTATAAAAACTCCACCAGCAGTGGCATCGACCCAGTTGTTGTAAATAAACTCATCATAAATACCAGGATTGAAATTTTGTATTTGCGCCAGACGCGCGTTTCGTCTACAAAAGACTCATCAGTGACGCTCGAATCAAAAAAAGTTAGAAAGGCCAAATAAAATACGAAGTTGAAGAGCATTGAGGACCAAAAATTTCTAAAAGTTTTGCCAAAAACAGCTAACGTAATCTATTCCTGAGGTAGAAAAGCCTTAGTATTTCAAAAATGTAAAGTGTTGTAAACAGTTAATTTATAATTATGACCATATCAATGATAATTCATGTCAACACAGAAGTGCTGACTACTGGGCTGGTGATACCCTCGGGGAATAAAAACTCCACAAGCAGTGGCATCGACCCAGTGGTTGTAAATAAACTCATCATAGATACCAGGATTGGAATTTTGTATTTGCGCCAGACGCGCGTTTCGTCTACAAAAAACATAAGCACTTTTAGCGAGTCGCAAATTTCATGTGACAGAGAGCCAAATCAAAAGAACGGGCATTTAAAGTTTATAAATTACCTGTAAAAATTCGAAGATGCAATTGACCAATTCATTTTACTATGTAAAATATATGTTTTGCATTTTGAAAAATTCATCCGATTGGTTTTTACAAAAAGTATAAATCACAACAAAGAAACATGATCATACTATTGAATATTAAATTACAAATGTACATGTATGTGGAGACTAAACGGGGATATTTAAGTCCATTTTGTAAACTTACTATTCGAATGAAACATCGATTCTGAAAAGTATTTGAACAGTTTAGAAAAGTTCACTTTATGGTTATAGAGTACATACAATCTAAATTTTGTTCCTCTGGCAATAATATAAAACATTTGACTTGTCCACCCGTCTACCCTTTACACAAGTATACTCTATGCTTAACTTGTAGACAGATTGAAAGGACAAATCCGACTTTGTTTCATTAAACAGAATGCCAACCGGATATAAACGTATCTTTTTTAAAATCATACTTTTATAAAAACATTTTTTTTATAGTAATGAGATGCTAGATTATTTGATAGACAACACATTTGTTGCGTTTGTAGGACGTGTTTTTCAACAAACAATCCGCATTCATATGGGAACTTATTTTACTCCTCTTCTAGCCGACTTGTTCCGTTATTTATATGAGACAGACTTTCAACGGGAGTTTCTCAGGAAGAATGGATAGAAGCCAGAATTATCTTTTAACTTCACGTTACACTCTATAGATGATGAGCTCTTACTAAATAATACAAAGTAGGTGCCTATGTTAAACACATCTATCCATGGACATTGACATAAAGGATACCACAGATACAATTAAGTCTGCCTCATATCTTGACTTACATAAAGAAAATAAGAATGACGTTCAATTAAAAACAATACTTTAGGTCAAAATAGATGTTTTCAGCTTCCCAATTGATAACTTTCTATTTCTTTGTAGCAACATTTCCGCAGCGAAAGAGCTTGCGATTCCTATCTTAATTTTCTTGATAGCGGGTGTGGCTGCTTACAAGAAAAATATTGAGCCAAGGGTTCCAAATGGTGAATTCGAACGTTTTACGAACTCAATCGAAAAACTGTCGACGTAAGATATGTTTTAACTGTCGAGTTGTTCTATGAGTATTTTCCATTCGTTTGATGTGTTTGAGCTTTTGAATTTTGCAATTTTATAAAGGACTTTCCGTTCTGAATGTTACTTGGAGTTCGGTATTTTTGTTACTTTACTTTTTTCTATGTATTCTGTGGACTTGTTCGTCTTTTCGTCGTTTCCGTTTTTTGCAATGTCATTGTCAGTTCGGTTTTGTCTTATGAGTTTTGAAAGTCCCTTTGGTATCTTCCGCCTTTTTTATCATTTTGATAACGGCTTTTTGTATGTTTACAAAAATACAAATCAGCAAAAGATACTGAAAATCTCAAACTATCACATAAAATACAACTGTTTGTTTAAAACTCAATTGTACAGAATGCAAACAATGCGTTTGTTAGACTTGAAATTTAAACTGTGAATGAATAAATATATTTTTTTGTCGTATATTCCTTGTGGTTTAAGGTCATGATACTTTTGAGGCAATTTATATATGTTATCATATTAAGTCTTTTGATTATATATAGTGGAAATAAGTATTTATCATTGTTTATGGACATATCAAATTAATATGTATTAAGTTCACATGGAAATTAACAATTACCATTATACCATCTATTCATCAAACCACAGTCCATTATTGTCATACATAAACAAATAAAATATCTTCTTGTATGGTGGATAACATATCAGGTTAGAAATGTATCTTCAAACATGTATCTTTATTCAAAAAAGCAATCGTGGGCGTAACTTTGTTCATGTTAAAGAGAAGCAAAAAAAAAATACAAAAGGGACCTTCAACCTCACAAGTAAAAAACAAACTGACAAAGCCATAGTCAAAAACGAACCATGTTTTAATTTGTAAAATTTGTGAACACTATTAAAATTTTGAAAGGACCATAAGACAAAAAAAACTTTATTAAAGGATGACAAAATTATGACAAGATGCACTCAATGAATAAGCCGTCAAACTGTAACATATGGGATATAAAAAGTGAAACTTTGGCATTTGTCTGTAGTCGAAACTCTAGTCTCTGATTCGTCTGCTTAGTTGCTGGTTAATGATGATTACACTTATTCATGGTTTTATATGATTCAGTAGGCTTACATTTGATACAAAATAAATTAAACCATTTACAACCAAGTTTATTCCACAATTTTCTACATAAGGAAATACATGTACCAAGTCAGGAATAGGACAGTTGTTTTCTATTCGTTTGATGTGCTTGAGCTTTTGATTTTGCTATTTGATAAGGGACTTTCCGTTGTGAATTTTCCTTGGAGTATGTTTGTTATTTTACTCTTCGCACATATATTAAGTATCACCATTATATATATCACAAAAAGACCACGATATAACTCAGAACAACCAAATTGTGTGACAAAGAATGGTCTACAAAAACAAATATAACTTACCTGTCCAATGTATTCATATCGATGATATTTTTTATTAAACCATACACTTGGGTCATCTTTTCTCGTCGTTGTAAAAACTATTCTGTTCGTGAATTCTCCATCTTTTATGTTAAACCTTTTTATACTTTTCGAAACATTATCCTCTTTTTCGTTATCTAATCTCTCAACATGCTCAAAGCAGCTAATCATATAATTAATTTGTATCAATATAATGACAAAAAAGACTTTCATTACAGAAGTTGTTTAGTACACTTAGAATTTAAACTTATAATATGAGAAGGATCGTTCGATTTTGAACGAAAGAACTAGTCCGTGAAATAACGCTATATTTTTTTGTTAATCCCTTTAAACATCACATATTTTATAATTAAAAGGAAGTTAATTTATAGGTTGCCGAGTATTAATAGAAAATGTATGCCTTTTAGTCGTATGACTTTTGACGTAATTATGTATTTATACATCCAGGCATTGGGTTTTTGACTATTTTATTTAGGGCATTCCGGATGCAGGTGGGTCTTAATGTGCGATTCGGACAGAGAGGTTTTTTTTCAGTTTTACAGTGATGTTTCTATTTTATTTACCCTTGTATTTATAGTTGATTTTTAATCTATTGAGGAAGTGTATATACTGTATGTATCATCAACGGCAATAACTTTTTTTTGAAGTCATTGTCAATTTAAATTTTACTATCTATTACAACTTTTTTGTTGGCGTCTTTGTTAGATTAATTTGTATGTTTGTTTGAATTTTTTAGTCAAATGGTTTGTATGCCTGGGATGTATGTTTACACAGTTTTGGCTGTTGGTTCCCAATAATTGTCACATTAACCTATTATGTATGTTGCTCACCTAATTGTGTCAATATAACAGAAATATAAACAACTTTCACACTATGGAAAATTTAGCAAGCTATAACACCAGGCTATTCCCGCCATTTTCGTCGGAAAATGCCTGTACCAAGTCAGAAATATGGCAGTTGTTTTTTCACTTTTTATGTTGATTGATAGCGTTTGATTTTGTCAGTTTTTATGGACTTCCCCTTTTTGAATTTGCCTTAGAGTTCGTTTTGTTTTTTTTTTAAATTTTGTCTTTCAGATATTTTGTACAAGTGTTACAGACATACAGTAATTAAGTATATATCAACAAAGCAATGATGTCGTTCAGATGTGGATTCTTGAAAATTCAGAAGATCTACTGAACATCTCTAATCATCTTCTTGACCATTTTGCAGTCATATCAACACTATTGATCTTTCTAAGCTTTACACTTATATTCCCTAAAGTAAATACAAAGACGGTAAGCGATGCATGCATGACAGGATACTCCTACCCTGTCGACGCACCCAGTCTGGCATCATTAAAATAATTGCATATTAATTGGTATATTTATTTGACGTATTTTCGAACAGACAAACAGTTTTCCTACGGATCGAAACATGTTCCTCTTTTTGCACATTTATCCAGTTCGTATGAGGCAAATCTCATGTTCATACATCAATTATTACAAAGTATGAAAAGCTAGCATTAAAAAAAGTAAACTTATATTTCTATAGATGATACCTTCTAAGTGAATATCGCAATGTTTGGTGACTATGTTCATGATATCGATTGTATCAATCCTAAATAACTTGAAATACCATAGATGCAATCAAGGCTACTTTACATGTCGAAAATATTTCCCTGCTTTAAAGATCAGTCTGTACCTATCATCTCTTACATCTATACCACAACAATTGCGACTAATTTTCAATTACAAATTATTTATTGACGACTTCAAGTTCAAACCTTCCATTGCGCATTTGGTAGTTTCTCATTCATATATAATCCTGCTGGCCACATTATAACTATATGTAGTGACCAGACCATTGTCAATAACACATCTCTGCGCAGACCATTGTCAATAACACATCTCTGCGAAATGTTATCCTACGTCCCGAAATATCGTGTGCCTAAATCCATCAATTGGAAACACAACGTCCAAATACTGATGAATTCAGTCGAGTATAATGCAAAGCAATGGGCTAAAAATTACCACGTAGATACTCTTTCCGAATAGGTTATGGTTATTTGTCGTAGATACAAATCAAAATTAAAAAAATGAATTTGTCTATGAATACACATGATGCCATGATGCCTCGATGTCTAAGGACCAACAGGTTGATAAGCACAAGTCCTACCTCGAAGACAAATTTGTTGCTGTCCCTGCCGATATAGCCCCAAATAACATCGATGTTGTGTGTAAATCACATAACATAAATTGCTTGATAGCGGAATTAGGTATTAACTATTCACATTGAAACTCAACAATTACCTCTACGCCACTTACCAGGAGAAATCCTGAACACTAGTAACGATAGGTCTATCCTATGTTCTTTTGGAATTTCATCCAAAGAGGAAGAACTGGATCTTCCTTCACTACATTTGATACCTTAATTACACAAATGTCCTTACAAATATCGTTTTATTACTGTTTTTTCAGGTGCTCCAGGAAACCTTAGTTATTAATTACAAGTTTGTCAGCAATCATTGCCGGTCTTTAGATTATTGTGAAAATTTCTTCCCTAGGGCCGATGTGAACAATATTATCTTCATGAGTTATTGTGAAACTACCTACTATTGGGTCAGTGTGAATCAGATGTGGATACTTAGAAAATTCAAAAGATCTTTTAGAGCACATACAATCTTAATCTTTTCCTCTGACCTTTACTAATCTTCACACATGCTTTCCCCATTCCACACTAAATAAAAAATTACATAACTGGTTCTGGTTTTTATCATACAAAAATGGCCAGCGTAGAAACACATATTTAGCTTTAGGATGGGATAAATCGTCCTTTGCCAAAAAACCACTCTGATTGAAACAATTCCTTTTTCTGAAACAACTGACTTTATCAAGATGTTGATATCGTGATTGACAAAATATGTGTTACGTTCCGAGAACAATCGGCATTCTCATGGGAACCAACAGTGCGTCTCTTCTGGTAGATTCGTTCCTTTATTCACATGAGGCAAACTTTATACAGTAGTTTCGAAGGAAGAATAAAAACAAGCTGGCATTATCAGTTAACTTCTCGTTCCGCTAAATAGAATAATTCAAAGTTTAGGGACTATATTGAACGCATTTATCCCATCGAACATGAAATAGAGGGTATCACAGATGCAGTTAAGTTTGCCTCATGTCTTGGCTTACATCTATAAATTAACAATGAGGATCGGTTAAGAACAACATTTTTATGATGATAGAGATGACTTCAGCTTCCCAATTATAAACATTTCATTTCTATGTAGCAATACTAGTATTCCAACAGCGACTGCATATGGAGTAAACAACTCCCAGCTGATATTTCAGAGCTTGCAAAGTGAGAGGTTTAGCGCTATAAAACCAGGTTCAAACCACCATTTTCTACATAAGGAAATGCCTGTACCAAGTCAGGAATATGACAGTTGTTGTCCATGTGTATGTTGTGCTTTTTATTTTGCCATTTGATTAGGGACTTTCCGTTTTGAATTTTCCTCGGAGTTCAGTATTTTTGTGATTTAACTTTTTCCTATCATGATCTCCTTGATAAAGGCTTGCTGCTTAGCAGGGAGCTATTAAACCAAGAGTTCGAAGTGGTGAAGTTGAAGTCATGCCTCGAATAGGTTACGGACGCCATCACGAGTTGGTTGTACGTTACGTAATATCTGTTTCACAGATGACGAGGGATAGGTTCAAATGTCATTTCGTTTTCGACTTATGAGTATGACTATTCCTTGGTATCTTCCGCCTCTCTTTTGAGTATAGAAATAAATTGACAATAAAGATCGTTTAAAAACTAACCACGACGAAGAAAGAGGTGCTTTTCTCATTGTAAATTTTTCATTTCTGACAATTTTGATCAAATAAACAGTACGTAGATTTTGACATTTTTAATCATGTTTGCCCTGTCAGATTTGATGGATCCATTACAGTTTTAATGTGAAAAATAAAATAACAAAAACACCGAACTCCGAGGAAAATTCAAAACGGAAAATCCCTTATCAAATGGCAAAATCAAAAGCTCAAACACATCAAACGAATGGAAAACAACTGTCATATTCCTGACTTAGTACAGGCATTTTCTTATGTAGAAAATGGTGGATTAAACCTGGTTTAATAGCTAGCTAAAACTCTCACTTGTATGACAGTCGCATAAAATTCCATCATATTGACAACATTGTGTTAACAAAACAAACAGACATAATAGGTAAAAATGTCAAAAATAGTGGTACAGCAGTCCACATTGTATTATTATCTTAATCACTATAAAAACAAAAAAATATGTCAACAAAGAAAAAAAAAAAAAAATGTACTCTAGAACGAGGCTTCTACTTATTATTACAGAATAACCGTATACCAACATGACCTATGAGCTTTGTTGGCAAACATCCTGTCAAAATTAGATGACTTTGTTTTCGAAAAAAAGTTCATTATTTCAGCCTCACAATCATTATATTTTTAGTGCGATTATCGTAATGAGACTAAACAATCAACCAATAACAATATTGTATTTAATGTTCCAAGTACTGAGTAAAGTTGTACGATTGAAAGGCGTGATCTAATTGACTGTTGCCGTCTAAACACTTAAGACGACTTGCGTTGATAATTTACTGTGTCCTTCATTTGACAAAATGTTAGTGTTTTCTGTTAGATTGGTGTCTAATGATTATGCTAAAACGGATAATCAATGTTGTTGCTTTATTTGGCCTTTAAAAAACAAATGTATTCGAGCGTCACTAATGAGTAAACACACATATGAATGTCGACAAATGCGGATTTTGAATCTGCTTATTTACGATAAAATTTCACAAAACATTGAAATCAATTGTTCTTCTTATTCTTTGACAAAACAGAAAAAAATCATTACACACATTTTTTTTTATACAAATAAAATCGATGATTTAAATTATCCATCAATAAAAATACAAGTATGAACAAACTTACAAATTCAATTCATCACAAAAACAGTTAAGCTTCAAAGCATCAGTTGCAAGTTGTATCCTAAAACATTTTATAAAGTCTAAAAAAAGGTGATGTGAAGTATATGTAAATGAGATAGCATCACAGAGATATAAACTAAAAGACATCTAGATGTAATGAAAAACATCTAGAATCAAGAGATCAACAAAAGACATCTAGAGGTAAACAATTACATCTAGAGGTCAACAAAAAATAACCTATATCACAAAAAAACTTGTGCTAACAGCAATCTAGAGACATTTCTATGTTGGTCACATTTCAAAAATGCGTCATAGTTTTGAAATATCTTAAAGTTTCTGATGACTGCAAAAT